CCATCTATGTGCCTACTAATTCTTTCCTTAATAATGGTTTCCACCAATTTACCCAGTATCGATGTCAGACTGACTGGCCTGGAAGGTAAGCAGGGTTGGCCCTGGTCAGTATTTGGATGGGAGCCAAGCACGGAGTACCGGGGTCATTTTGCAGAGGCAGGCAGTGGCAAACCCCCTCTGCACTTCTCACAGGCCTTGAAAGCCCCTTGCTGGGGTCGCCGTAAGCATGTTGCGACTTGACAGCACTTACATGTGTAGCCTCCCCGATAATGGACAGGCCGGTCTTTCCCTTCATTAGCGAGACAAAGATAAGCAATCCACTGAAGGACTTAAAGGCAACCGCAGCGTAATCCTTTATATCACGACAAAGTGTCTTAATCTTTATTTATGTGGAGTTACAAAACTGGTCACAAATGTGCAGCGGCAATCATTCCCCAGCGCGGAAACGTCAGTTTTCAGATGAGGTCTGACAAAGAAGATAACACGGTGCATTAACATCCTTACAGAATCACTTCTGTTACTGAGTCGAAAGCTCCCTCGCTGTCGCCACTGCCGTTCCCTGTCTCCAGAGGTCCTTTAAAAAATAATAATAAATTGAACCACTAAGGAAATCCAGAGTTGCTCACTCCTCCTACTCTGAGCACCGCAGATCTAAGGCTTCCAGCAGATGCTGAATCATAGAATCATAGAATGTTAGAGTTGGAAGGGACCTTGCGGGTCATCTAGTCCAACCCCCGGCACTCTGCAGGAGCATAGCCGAAAGACAGCCCTACAACATTGAGGCATGGCCGTGGAGGACATGAAGGCACGGCTCCGTGATGCAGTCCACTTCCCCCCACCCCGGGCATCCTGTGTCAGGAAAAGAGCTGGGAGGAAGACTGAAGCCCCTTCTCCCCACCATGCCGTGGTCCTGAAGGCGTGGGGCACGGCACATCTGGGAACTGGATGCCATGACCTGGACGGTCCAGGTTAGCCCGATCTCAGAAGCTCAGCAGGGTTGGCCCTGGTTAGCACGTGGATCGGAATTCTAGGGTGGCTTTGCAGAGGCAAGCAATGGCAGACCACCTCTGTCTCCTCTGTCTGTCTCTGCCTTGACCTGGTTGGCCCAGGGTAG